AAATGTGCGATTTCAATGCATTTTCGGCCTTAAAGCGGCCGCCATTTGGCTATCGTTAATGAGATCATGAAACAAATGCACATACATATTTGTGACATGATGTACCTTGTGTGTGTGAAGTTTGAACTCGATCAGTCCAAACATGTCTCAGATACGGATCCAGAACTGAATTCTTTAAAACAAAATGGCCGCCAGTCGGCCATTTCGAACCCGATCCAAAAAAAAAATGACGTGCATCAAGGTCCTATTATGTTTAATGTATGTACCGAATTTGAACGAAATCCGTCCATGCATAACTGAGATCCGGGTCCGGAATGGTGAAAATGTGCGATTTTGATGCATTTTCGGCCTTAAAATGGCCGCTATTCGGCTATCGTTAATCAGATCATGAAAAAAATGCATGTGCATATGTCCCATATAATGTGTGATGTATGAGTGAAGTTTGAACTTAATCGGTCCATGCATGTTCGAGATACAGGTGATCACGGACGCACGGACGCACACAGGGCAAAACATAAGTCCCCGTTTTCGGACTGCGTCCGAACGGGGACTAAAAATGATTGAGAGGCTTCCTTGGGTGTTGAACAGATCGTGTCCTTTCAAAGCAAATAATAGTGTGGAGTAAGATACATAGCATACAAAATCAACAATTTGGGTTGAAATATCTGTGTACTCAATAAACAGGTAGGTGGATCATGTATTACATTTCCCATGATGCAATAGTGGGATTCAGAGACGCAGTTTAACAAAAGCAGTATAAACAATTGGCACACATAACTAAGTCCACAGCTCTTTTAATGTCTGCCTTTAGTCTTTGTGATGGTATTTCAGTCATTTCAGAAACATTTGACTTGAGTCACACAAATGTGCGACGCCAAATGGTTTACTGAAACAGTAGCATGTTAATTTGTTTATCGTTTGTTACTATTGTTTACATTGTTACCAGTTATTAGTATTTGTGTTATTGTGCTGTTTTTTTATTTCCTTTAAAGCGTGGTAATCATCGCGCTGCGCATGTTCGACATTTGTGTTGATAAACATTGATTTTTCCACAATCCAATGCGCTCTTCAAATAGAAATCACAAGTATGAGGTTTGACCTTGGCGCGACTTGTACTGATTACCTCCGGTGACTCCTTCTATACCTTCCAATCACATGAAAATTACCGAATTAAAGCTTGGAAACGTGTCAGTTCGTACTCGTTGATCTGCGCAACAGTCAAAGACGCCATCTTTGTTTATATGAGACCCATATATCTTGCACATGCGCAGCACGCTGACTACCGCGCTTTAACATTTGACTCCATTTTCATACAACTTGCATTCAAATAGGAATTGCATTTCGTCTTCAATCTCATTTTGATTGCAAGCAGTGCACTTTATACTACTGCAAAGTATTTTTTTGTATCGCCCTTTTTCTATTTCTAAATTATGTCCACCAATTCTTAACTATGTTAATACTGCCCTATGTTTTGCATTTGTTATCATTGATAGATAATTTTCATACTGGTAATTCTTTTTTTTCAGTCTATATGTAACACAGCTTATTCTTTTGGTTTGTATTTTTAATTACATTTTGGATCATCATGCATTTTTTCTTGACTGTTTCAAATATTTTTTGAGTTTGTTGTAAATTATGTTGATTAGATTGGTGTTGCACTTTGAATCATTTTTCCCCACCAAAGTCTTATCTATTTCCGAATAGCGCAAAATGCTTTTGATATCAGATACCCAGTTAAGTTTGCCTTTACAATCCATCTCTATCGTAAGTTTATATGCTTCATGTACTATGAGGTTATTACGAGGATACTGCAAAGTATGCATGAAGAGGAAGTATCGACTGGCTCGCACTGTATTCTTCCCAGAAATACATCATGGGAATGCCAAAATCCAAAACGCTTTATATAGAACAGATTTAGTGAACTTTTTGTGTGGGGTCTGGTCAAACCCTAGGGCAGCCATGTTTGTTTTCTAGCCATGTTTGTTTAGAGGACGCTTATGCGCGTAATCGTTCCACATTTGGAATTTTGCGTTTCCTATTATATGGTAGGATGAAAATACCCAGTGCAATACCGCAAAATTACGGGGCACACTGTAAATTATAGCGTTACGGTGACAGATGTATAATAATAGTTTTTATTTCTAGCCAATATTTCAACATCTGTTTTATACTAGCAAAACTAGTTATTGGCCTTACAGTTTAAATTTTTTACGGAATTTCTTCATTGGTAGCCCCTCGTAATACACAAACACTCGTTCAAATTTCGCTGCAATAGATCAGGATAGGCCTAACAATACTATCAATATTGTAGATATGTTTGGAATATTGTTTTCGAAGTATAGTAATGGTTTTATTTTAAAGAGAGCTTTAATCCTCCGCTGTGGCCGAATTTTGAGCCATATTGTCACGATCGAGGGTCAATCATGACTGTCACGGTCAGCTGTGCGCGTATGTCTGCAGCTGTGACAGTTCGAATCCGAACATAACGATATCACACAGCGATCAACTTCATTTTACAATTACATTGCATAAGGGTCAACATGGTAATTCATTTACGAGTACTTCCCTGTAGAGTTGTATTTATTAGCTTCGGATCGTCGCAAATATTCACAAACCAATGTCATTGACGCCCAAGACTTGTGTTTTTCCATTAACAGAAGCATTATCAGACAATGCACTATCAGTTGTATACACACATTTACAATACGACACACACACGCCAGCGATTTCTCTCGAATACTGAGTGCAATGTTACGCCAAAAAATAATAAACAGGTTTTGAACTCACCAATACAGAATCTCTGTGAGCAAAATGTCCGCCAACTTGTGACGTCATGATGCCACGTTTCTATCAACTGACCTGAGTAGTGCCATCAACGGTAGTCAAATTTGTACATTTGTTTTTAATCAAAACGCACAGGAGTTGAACTATAATTTTCACATTTTGGATACAAATTCGATCCGATAGTACTGGTACTAGATAGAATTGAGCAGATTATATGAAATTACACAGTAGAAACAATCTGGATTTGAATAACTGAGTAGGTACAAAAATGGTGTAAAGTCACATTTTCCAGGGGAGTGTTTCCAACACAGCAGTTCTTTACATTGCAAATTATATAAATAAAATAAGTCTTATTACACATACTGTAAAATGACTAATTTTCACTGGGTTTAAATTTCACTGATTTACCATTTCAGGCATATTCAGTAGGTTTTAAATTCACGGTTTCGTCATTTAGATAATGTGTTCTATGCTAAATTTTACATATTCACTGTGTTTTAATTTAGCGCATTTTCCCAGTCAGCGAAATAAGCTAAATTAAAACCCAGTGAATAATTACCCCCTTTACAGTAACTAGCATGATTTTATCCAGCTATTCAATGTGGTGCCTACAACAAGGCCTATTTCTGATACAGAGTTTTTTCACAGCTGAAACATTCTCACAAAAGTTACCTGCAATAATAGTCAAACATCCTGGGAAGTACTGAGTACCGGTAAGTAAGTAAGTACTGAGTTGTTGTGATTTTTAGTCTCAGCTCAAACGAAAACAGATTTATGGATTGACCTTCATTTATTTGTATCCTGCAGTATCTCACACATGCTTGGTATGATCCAGTTAAAACTCCACACATACATCAGTTCATGATGGCCGAATAGCAGCCATTAAAAATATGCATCAAAATTACCCATCAGATTTGGTTTAAACTTGGGACATACATTAAACACAATAGGACCTTGACACATTTTATTTTTTAAGTTCAAAATAGCTGACTGGCAGTCATTGTTTTAAAGAATGCAGTTCCAGATTTATGTGAAAACCAGGACCAGTTTTTCATGCACACACACACATCATATATGACATATACAGATGCATTCGTTTCATGATTCAATTCATACTGATGAATGGCAGTCACAGTTTGATTAATGTTGAAAAAGTTCAGCTGGGCATATATGCACATTATTTGTCATTCAAGTTCAAAGTTTAACATGGTATAACAATCGAATAATATTGGAAATTATGGCTATTTATTAGGCAACAATACCTCATAAGTGCTAGGATGTGTTCAGGGGTCATGCATAAGGGCAGAGAAATAAAGAAAATACTGTAAAATTACTAATTTTCACTGGGTTTAAATTTCGCTGATTAACCATTTCAGGCATATTCAGTTGGTTTTAAATTCACGGTTTTATCATTTAGATAATGTGTTCTATGCTCAATTTTACATATTCACTGGGTTTTAATTTAGCGCATTTTCCAGTCAGCGAAATAAGCAAAATTAAAACCCTGTGAATAATTAACCCCTTCACAGTATGATCTTGTGCTTCCACTCTGATAACAGACTATGAATTGCAGACTTCATTTATAAGAAAAACAGATTTGGAAGGTGACAACAAGTTGGTAATGGATGATGAAAGTGATAACTGGGTGGAGGCCTTGAGATGTGGAATCAATCAGGATAGAGCATAAAGCATAGTTTGCAAAATCTCATCAGACGTTCAAAATGTGCATGTATGGATAATACACACACAGAATCATGAGACAACATTTATTTTGCCTGAAATGAGAGATATAAAACAGCAACTTAATTTTTTTTATACATCAGATTTACTACATTTCAATTTTTAACCTTTCACAGACATTAAAATACAACGATTGTATATTTTTCATAAAGACAAAATATCTTAAGCCACAATATTGTAGTATGACAACTTGTTTCTGACTTTACCATTTTTATTCATTGAGATTGGTGATGAAAGTACAAAAACTGTGATCAAAACTTAATAGGCGGTCCGCTATATGAGTCAATTTGCATCGTGTGGATGCTACATAATAATGAAAGGTGTTAACTACCGGTATTAGTAAATCATTGCATAGCACGGTTGCATTCTTTACCATCGGATTTTTTCAGACTTTTCCAGTAAGATCTGCTCCCTAGCAAATGCGCACTGCGGTGACATAAATGTTAAAATGATTCATACTATAAAAGTTTGTTTTTGAGATCTATATTAAATGAAGAACGATTACAGAACCATCAACGATTCATCACTAGTTGATGCAGCGCACTTGGAATGGTGTAAATACTATGTACGCTTCCTACAATTTTAGACGAACACAAAATCTGATACCATCTATAGATTTTGATATACAGTTTTCAATATTTCTGACAAAAACAAGTGGATTAACATGTGAAGTAGTGCGAAAGGTACCCTTATATGGCAGTATGTGAGAAACAACAAACAGTAAAAATGCCCACTACATACTGCTTTGGTAACTACTCGGGGGAAAAATGTTTGACAAAACAAATACAATTTTGAAGTCATTTATGATGAAGAAAGTGAGCAAACATTGACATGGTTATGATAGTGTGATGACTATTGTCATGGTAAACACAATGCTAGAATAATAACAATGTCTTTTCTGTTACACTGCTGACAGAAAGTTGAAAGCTGCCATACGTATGACAGGTATCTTTCATCTGCTTTTAAATTTCAACCAGATTCAGAAAAGAATTTTGTTACAATGTTGAGTTCTCAAAACAAGTCACATTAACTGCATATTGTGGTGTCATACTCAAGAAAATTGTAATTCTGGGACTCAAAGAAGATGGATCATTTCTAGTCACCATTATTACACAAGAACATGTTATATCTTGGTATTACATTACAGATTCTGGTTCAAAATAACCAAGCACAATATGGCATATTCGATACGACTGACTGCATGATATTAAAAAAACAGTTTGACAGCATTTACAACAACTACAGAGAACCACAATGATTCGTTGAAGATCTCTTACATTTAAATCAAACTGGTTATGCTATCATATATACATGATAATATTGAATCAAGTGAGTCCCACACGAGTCTTGCATGTTTACATAAAATTACAACTGAATTTAAAACCAATCAAAAGTTAGACAACTCAAAATAGCAGATATTTGCTGGATTGTCAATACACTGATCTAATCACACAATCAAAAAAAGTTTTAGATGATACCCTCCTGAAAGATGCCATAATTCAAAACCCCTTCTACCATTTTTAAATAATACAAATCATACTCCCAGACATTTCTAATACAAATTCTGATGCACTGGTTTTGAAACCTTTGGAATTTGAACTACACATCATTGTTGCTTTGTCACCTTGGTCATGCTCATACAACTAGGATTGGACTTAAATCAGCACAACGTAAAATAAAACTGGTAAATGCAGACTGTTGGTATAATATAGTTTATGCTATAGCTTTGGCTTCAGGAAGAAAACCTTCCCAATACTTGATTAGCTGTCAAGTAAATAGAAATAAAGAATGGTTGAAATTAAGATGACTGTCATGTTCAGGTGACACTTCTCTGATTGGATTAGAGGGTGCTGTACTAGTACGCTGTCAGTAAAACGTGTTCTGATTTGTCAGGAGATAGTTAGAGGAAATGTTCTCAATGATATGAGCCTATATTGGAAGTGTTCACGATGTTGAAAAATGTTCTCTATTCAGTTACAGAGTTTTCATTATAGAAGACTTCATTATACAGTTAGGGAGTCTTAATTATTCAGTTAGGGAACCTTCACTATTCAGTTACAGAGTTTTCACCATTCACTTAGAGAGTCTTCAGTCAGAAAGTTTTTACGACTCAATTAGAAGATTTTCAGTACTCAATTAGGGGTTTTCACTATTCAGTTAGGTAGTCTTCACTATTCAGTTAAGGAGCTTTCACTATTAAGTTAGGGAGTCTTCACTATTCAGTTAGGGAACCTTCACTATTCAGTTAGGGAGTCTTCACTATTCAGTTAGGGAGTCTTTACTATTCAGTTAGGGAGTCTTCACTATTCAGTTAGGGAACCTTCACTATTCAGTTAGGGAACCTTCACTATTCAGTTAGGGAACCTTCACTATTCAGTTAGGGAATCTTCACTATTCAGTTAGGGAGTCTTCACTATTCAGTTAGGGAACCTTCACTATTCAGTTAGGGAACCTTCACTA